TATATATATATATATATATATATATATATATATATATATATATATATATATATATATATATATATATTGTTATAACAGATTATCAAACGTTCAGGTCTTTAGTTGTTCCGTTTGCCATCAAATAATATATTGTTAAAGTCAAAATATTAATTTATCAATCTTAAAATTCAATACACATCAACTTTATGGGCCGTTTACTAAACACTTACTTGGTAAGTGTTTACCGGATAAATTTCTTCATCGGATAAACATGAGGAGGGCCAATAATCTTACCTGGTAAGAGCGATGAGAATGATGAAGAGTCTTACCCGGTACGTGAGGATGACGACTCTTACCCAGGTAGCTTACTCAGTAAATTGTTGCATTCGATATGTTTTGATATATACTAAAAATCTTACGCTTCAAAATAAATCATAGTGTTGACTCTTATTGCTAAGCGATTACCGGGTAAGTAATTGAGTAAACGGCCCCTTAGTCTTACATTCTTCACTTAATGTTGAAAAAATTAGATTTAAAGAGTACAGAGTTTTGACGATAAATTTGACTTTTAAGGATAGTAAAATTTACTTGATTATCGTTAACTTTAATAATTTATTCCTGAATCTATATATGGCAATGGTGTTAAACTAAGCGGGATGGTCGGATTTGAGGAGAATTGGAAAAAAAAAACAAAATTTAACATAATGGACAAACGCTTACCCGAGTAAGCACTTACCAAGTCACTTTACTTTACCGGATGAATATGACAATGACTAAAAATCTTACTCAGTAAGAACGAAGGCAAGAATCGAGAGTCTTACCCGGTAAGTGACAGACGAGGACTCTTACCATTGTTAGCGCTTACCGGGATAAATTATTGTATACGATGCGTTTTAATAAATAAAATCTTACCCGATAAATAAGCGATAATGTTGAATTTTACCGGTAAATGTTTACTGAATAAGTGTTTAAGTAAACCACCCTTAAGCTTTACCTATCTAGGAGATAAAAAAAATTGCAGGAACCTTGGCCCCCAAAGGCCTCTATACGCCTCCGCCCCTATTGCCATATATAGATTATGGAATCCATTTCATCCGCATCTCAATTGGGTTTTGTAACAGCAACATCCCACTCCATGATGGATTTTGAATGACATTCAAATGCAAACAAACAACCCTTAACATGTGCATAAAAAACGTGTCGAAGGGAAAACCCGTTAATAAATCATTCATCAGTAGCATGATTCATTTGTCATTAGCATGTTCTAAGGGAATATATGTGTGGCATTAAGCATTATCTTATCGGTCAACTAGATAAATCTTACTTGTTGATTTTAGCCAAAATCCGTACTTTGATTAATTTCTGAACCATTAAGCTCAGTTTTTGCTTTTTAACAGGGGTTGAGATAATGTTTACAACCAAAAAATCAATTATGATAATTCAAAAATAAATCGATACTTAACCACAAGGGTGGTGCCTGATTGGTTTGAGCTTGGCTCAAAAGGTCAAAAGTATCAGGAGGTCCCATGTTCAAATTCAAGGAGAAATAAAAATCCCCTTATGGCCACAGATGTTCAAATGCGCTGATTCCAGACTATCTGTTAAATAAATGGTTGTTCTGGGATTAATCGGCTCGCATAACGGGTTGAATATCTAGGTCAATAAAAAAAATCGATACTCATACTTTTATAAAGTGTAATAATAGCGGTATCTAATACAATAATTCAAAAATCAACTATGATTTTAAAATGTAATATCAAACAATTAGATATCATAATATTAATTTTAAATGTTGACAATTTTGTAATACTTGATCTACTGTCAACAATAATGTGTTGGTGGCTAATTTAATAATATTAATGATTTTTATTTTATAAAAAATATAGAAATAAATGAAAACCAAATATTTTTGGTTTTATTAGGCGTATTTTTTTAAATTGAAAATATTTACAAATAATTAGAAAAAGTTAAAAAGGTTAATGCCGTTAATTTATTTAATACACATTTAATAACGCTAATAAATGCTTTGAAGCCAATTTATTGTTGGCAAGGACAACACGTCACGGTAAAAGAAGCAACAACGTGTCAACAAATTATTTGACTCTTGCAACCACCCATTCACCAGTCAAATCGTTGTATACAACTCATCATTATTTTGGACCGTTGATCTCAAAAGATCCGCGTTTGGTGTCCAATCTGCAGCGCGATTCCCGCTGTCACTTTAACATCTCCTTTACCCTTCCTCTATAAATACACGCCATTTTTTAACCCTAAATTTAAAACGCCTCTTCTTCACCCTCCTGCTTTCTGTCTGCTGCTCTTTCTCTTCGAATCTACATCGATCCGATAGAAATGGCGCAAGTTAGCATTGTGAAGAAGGCTTCTCTTCTCGCTGTTGTGGTCGTGGCGATCTCCGCCGTTACCGTGTCTGCTCAGGATGTAGCCTCGGCTCCGGCACCTTCTCCTGATGCAGGAGTGGCGTTCTCTGTAGCGTCTTCTGGAGTCATGATCGGAACATCTCTGCTTCTCTCCTTTGTCGCTTTGTTCAGGAATTGAGCTGATTTCTGATGATTCTCTTCGTGACTGAAGGTTTCTGTCATTTTGTTTCGATATAGATTCATTGCTATTACATTATTATGATTATGATTATTATTTCGATATAGAATCATCGGTATTGCATTGTTATGATTATTGGTCAATACCTGTATTGTATTGATTCATTATTTTTTTTTTCCAGATATTACATTGTGAGCAGTTTTTAATTTCTATATAATACTATACTCTGGTGTTGAGATTAACCTAATTTGTTTGTGGTGTTGAATATGGAAGCAATGATTTCGTTTTCGGGACAACTATCTATTCTTCTTCTCGACATTTTTTATCTCATTACCTTCATAAAAAGTTGATAGGATACAGGCTGAACGATGTCATTTGTTACTGCATTTGCAATTGATTTCTGTTCTCCTTGGTCCTTATCAATTATGTGTTATCGAGTTGAAGAAAGGAATAGATTTGTAAATAAATGGAAACATATATATGTAAAGCCGAACTTTATTTCCAAAAATTGTAAAAATCGCAAAGAATAGCCTCATCAAAATGCCGAAGAGAAACTGCAAATAAGAACCAATTTATCAACTAATTCTTTTTTCAGACGTATCCAAGGGGCTGCTTACTAAGCACTTATCGGGTAAGCGTTTACGGATATCACTTACCTTACGGATTGAGCATAGCAATGGCCGTGAATCTTACCTGGTAAGAGGAAAAGCAAGGACCAAGAGTATTAACTGATAGGTAAGAAAAGAGGTGGTTCAAATTAAAGTCAATCTCCTACGAACAACAATAACACAAGAAATGTATTGAACAAAGAATACCAGTAGGAACAAACATAAACTTGAATTATAAATATAATCATAAGATAAGGGGCCGTTTACCAAACACTTACCCGGTAAGTGTGTATCGATAAAATTTAACACTATTATTTACGTACCGTGTAATATTTTAGTCTATCAAAACGACATCTTATGCAATAATTTACCCGGTAAGCGTTTATCATGATAAGAGGCGTCCCTTTACTTACCGGATAAGATTCATGGTCCTTGTCTCGCTTTTACCGGGTAAATTTTTTGGTCATTACCATATTCATCCGGTAAGGTAACATGACTTGGTAAGCATCAAGTTGACTTTAAAAG